ATTATTATAAAGACAATTTAATCATTTATATAAATTCATTAATAATATAAATTTTTTTATAAATTTAAATAAAATTATAATATTTTAAAAGATGAAATTATTATTTGTATAATTTAAAAAAAATCTTTTCACCATCTTTTCACCGGGGTTCTATGTGTACATGGCGTAACAATATCTTTTTCTACGGGGGGTTACTTTACAAACTCGGGAAAGACGTTCAAATCCAAATTTGAGTCCTGAACGGTTAAACCCATATCTCCCGCTCATAGCCTCGCTCTCGGACACTGCTCTTCTTTCCTGGCGTCGTCACCGTCACCCACCATTCTTTGTGCTCTCCGGTGACGTCCTCTGGCTCCCAACAGTCGTGCTTATTTGTTTTTGACCTTGAATCCTAAGTGATACAACTCTCTCTCTCTCTCTCTCTCTCTCTCTCTCTCTCTCTCATTTTTCGCAGGCTAATCAAACCGAGAAATGGTTTTTCTCGTTAAATGGATTGGAGGAAATTGGTTCAATTTTCAATCCATGTACTAGTGACTTCCATGAAATGCTTCTTATTGTTAAAATTGTCAGAGGGTTTATGGACAATTGGCCTTTCTCTTCAAATTAAGCATGTGTGTTTGAATTTGGGATTAATCACAGCATGTTCATCATCTTAGAAGGAGGATTTCGGGGTTTAGATGCCAATGAAGATGGGAACAATTTTGTCTTCTTATTTACTGAAGCTACTTAGCCTGATCGTTCTGAAGGATTCTTAATATTAAAATAAAATGATGACTTCAATGTAGAGTCGGGAATAAGGGCCAGGACTGAAGGTTCTGTTTAAATAAGGGTTTGGGCTTTGAGAATGAATTTTTTAAAAAAAATAATTGGACTTGAGGGTTTGGCCCTGATAAGCCTTGTTAAAAAAGGCTCGGGTTCGGGCGGCCCTTCAAACCCTGTTATATTTTTTTTTTTTGATGCAACACGTGTTTAAAGCTAATGACCTGCTCATCTGATCCTACATGCATTATATTATTATTAACTTTAATTTATTCTAAAATTGATTTAATATAATTTAATAAATATCAATGTATAATATAAAATTTTTAATATTTTTATTTTTTTATAATTATTATGTTTTTGTATTTATAAAAGATGAACTGTTTTTTAACTAAGATTAAATTTTATTATTAAACTTCTAAATGTGTGTTGTTTAATTTCTAAAAAAATTATGAGGATTTTGAATTTTATAATTTCAGAATATTTTAATTAATTTATAATATTTAATTTTATTTTTATTTTTTTTTATTTTTTAAAAAAGAGCTTGCAGGTCCAGCCTTGAATCTTTAACATAAGGGTCGGGCTTGAAAAATGAGGCTCAAAATGAAAAACCGGGCTTTAGGGCTCAGGCCCTTAAGTGCTAAGCTCATAAGGGCCGGGCTCGCACGCATTCCCAATTCTACTTAGATGATCTCAGTTTTTTCATAGATTCATTTTTTATTTGAACTATAAAAGGGCGCCTAACTTAATGATTTACTTGTATCTCACTACCTCTTTGGTCACTTCACGTTGAGTCATGGTTCCCATTTCTCTCTTTTTCTTTTTAGGCATTGTTTTGCACCCCATCTGTGATGAATCATACTGTTTGAGCTCATTGAAAAGCGTGACTTCTTATAAATTTTATATTATATATAGAGGCTCCTTATAAATTTTATATTACATAGATATAGATATATACATACATACATATATATTTTACCTTTCACGCTTTCCCGATATGTGGATTTACAACACTTATTCTATCATCTGATTTTTGAACACCAAGGATTAGGTAGTGGCAATTAAAAGGTGAGAAGCAAGATATTTTCAAGCGAAATCTTTTGAATAAAGGACTTTGGGAATCTCAGGGAAGTGCTAACATCATATGGGAGGATATGGCTAAAAAGATACGGGAGGTTGCAAAAGTAGTTTTGGGAGAATCGAAAGGTTCTGATCCGAGAGATAAGGAGTCTTGGTGGTGGAATAATAGTGTACAGGACAAAATCAAGTATAAGAAGAACTATTTTAAAACCATACATTTGTGTAACAATGAGGAAAATTGGGAGAGGTACCGTATGGCTAAGAAGAAAACTAAGAGAGCTGTGGGTGAAGCTCGTTCTAAAGCTTTTGAAAAATTTTATAAGAACCTTGAGACGAAGGAAGGAGAGCAAAATATTGATAAGATTGTCAAGAGTAGGGAAAGAAAATCAAGAGATCTAGAACAGGTAAGGTGTATTAAGGATGAAGAGGGAAGAATTTTAGTTACAGATGATGAAATTAAAAATAGATGGGAGACTTACTTTTCTAAACTTTTCAATGATGGAGAGGATTCATCTAGTAACTTAGAGGATTTAGTAACTGGTGAAGGAGAACAAAATTTGTCATTCTATCGAATAATACGTGACAAGGAGGTAAAGGAAGCTCTTAAGAAAATGGCAAATGGTAAAGCCAACAGACCTGATTGTATATCTATCAAAGCGTGGAAATGTTTAGGTGAAGAAGGGGTGAGATGGTTAACTAAGTTATTTAATGTGATTTTACGGTCCAAGAAAATGCCTGATGAGTGGAGGAGAAGTACATTAATTCCTATTTATAAAAATAAATGAGATATTCAGAATTGTACTAACTATAGAGGGATTAAACTCATGAGCCACACAAAGAAATTGTGGGAGAAAGTAATTGAGCACAGGTTGAGATTGGAGACAAGTATTTCTGAGAATCAATTTGGTTTTATGTCAGGTAGATCAACTACAGAGGTGATTTATCTACTAAGGGGATTAATGAAAAAGTATCGTTGTAAAGATAAAGATCTACACATGGTTTTTATTGATTTGGAAAAAACTTATGACCGTATACCAAGAGAAGTGTTTGGAAAGCGTTGGAAAAAAAGGGAGTACGGATTGCTTATATTAAAGCCATACAAGATATGTATGAGGGGGTAAAAACTAGTATAAGAACACCTAGTGGTCAAACAAAGGATTTTCCTATAAAGATTGGACTACATCAGGGATCATCTCTGAGTCCTTATTTGTTCAACTTGATTTTAAATGTTTTGACGGAACATATTCAAGAGGAAATCCCGAAATGTATGCTCTTCACGGATGATATAGTTCTTATAGCAGAGACAAGAGAAGAGGTTAATTGTAAACTTGAGTTATGGAGGAGGACATTGGAGTCGAAAGGTTTTCGTCTGAGTAGAAGTAAGATGGAATATTTATATTGTAAATTTGGTAAAGGAATATTCGACAATAATTTGAAAGTGAAATTGGGAGATCAAATTATACCTTAAGTGAAAAAGTTTAGATATTTGGGAGCCATTATTCAAAATGATGGCGAAATCATTGGAGATATTTCACATAGAATTCAAGTTGGGTGGTTTAATTGGAGAAAAGCTGAAGGAGTTATTTGTGACCGTAAGGTGCCTAATAAACTTAAAGGAAAGTTTTATCGCACTGCTATCAGACTGACAATGTTATATAGTAGTAAATGTTGGGCTCTAACGGGACAACAAGAGCATAAAGTTGGAGTAGCAGAGATGAGAATGTTACGATGGATGTGCGGACATACACGTAAAGATAAAATTCGAAATGAGCACGTACGCGAAAAAGTGAGGGTGGCACCTATTGAGAAAAAAATGGTAGAAAATCGGTTGAGATGGTTTGGGCATGTACAAAGAAGACCAAGGGAGGCACCAGTAAGAAGAGTGGAACATATAACTTTGAGTCCGATTAAGAGAGGTAGAGGAAGGCCTAAGAGAACACTGTTGGAAGTTGTTGAACGCGATCTCTTAATTAATAATATTCCTAAAAGCTTGATAAATGATAGAGCACAATGGCGTTTTGCAATCCATGTAGCCGACCCCACCTAGTGAGATAAAGGCTTGTTGTTGTTGTTGTATTCTATCATCTGATTTTTGTTTCTTTTATTGCTGTTACAGTTTATTTGTTCTTGACCATTCTCTGGGACGTTAAGGTACATGTATGAAAAGCTTCCCAAAACTGTTCTGTTCTGTATTTATTTGACTACTTGTACACCCTATTTTGTTCTCAGTATTTTATGTCTTTCAAATGAAAAATTGGTGTTTGATTTTAGTTTTTTTTGAACCATAGCTTTCTCTTTTTTGCTGGCTTATAATTATAATTAAATTACATGAGATGAACATGGTCATCTATCATATCTGAGTATCTTATATTTTTTACCCGTTGGTCCAACGAAATGAAAAATATGGGTGAGGAAAGTTATCAAAATCAGTCAATCCCCCTGAGGGAACTGTTGTGCTAACTAGTTGCAGAACTGATGGGCTCATCTTACGTGCTTTAACCTACCAGCATGGATTACATTGAACCAAATTCCCTTTCCTTCAGTAATCTTGTCTCCTAATAATCTAATCTACATGTGCTGCATGTGCAGAAGTGTTGAAAGAAAATATTGGCAAAACATGAGCTCAATAAACAATTCAACAATAAAAGCTATACTTATACTGTAACTTAATTCAAATTGAAACAGTGTCATTTTTCCTCAGTGAGTTAAACCAGTCAATTTGTTTAACCCTACTGGTGAGTTGGGCTTGGAATTTCTTGACTGATTTAACAATCAGGCAGCCTATCTCAGTGCCTCAGCTCATAATATGTGGGTTGGGATAGCCTGTTAGGATAGCTATAGGATTAATATTTTAATGTTATTTTTGAGGTTGGCTTCTGTTACTCCTTATTATATTGATTAGTTGTATGGTTGGGCTATTTATTTTCCTATTTAATTCAATTATGTTAAACAATTTGTTAATAAGCATGCCTAAGAGTTGGTGGGTTTCCTTTTTCTTTTTTCCATTTTAAAGATATCTGTATGAAGATTAGAAGAATAAATTGAGCTTATTTTTTCTTTAGTTATAATTTATGAAGTATATCTTCCCCCTGACATCCTTTTTCTTCTTTCAATTATGTTCGTTTTCGTCTAATCAAATAGTTCTCCTTACTACTATTTGTTTAAGCTATATATATATATATATATATAAATAAATTTTGAGCTGATATTGGCTTTTTCTGTTTTTCCTTTTAATTTTAGGTTCAGTGAGATCTGAGTTATTGGCAGGTTGGTTCCTTAGATTTCAGGAAAGCTGATCACCTTCATGAGATTTTGTTGGAATTACAAAGGATCATGAACACATGAAGAAACTATTCTTTTTTAAATCTTCTGCGTCAAGCAGTGGGAACAATAATGCAATTCCCCCAAGATCCACAAATAAGCAAATATGTTGGGAGAACTCATCAAAAAGCGGATTATATGGTCAGGCTCATGGCAGAGCTGAGGATAGCTTCCAGAGTCCAAAGGGATTGTTCTCCAAATCCCAGAGGCATGTATCGAATGGCCAAGGTTCTAGTAGTGGGACAAGTCATAGAAGGAGTAGATCTTTGTCAACATCAGCCTACTTGGTCCAGGATCATGATAGGTCACCTAGTTTCATTTCAAGCGATCAATATCATCGATATGAGAATTCATCTCAGTGCGCGCGCGCGCACATCCTCTAGAAGCTTATTCTTAATTGTTTATATTTACATTTTCTCTGTTTTGCAGAGATTTCTTAGTTTCTTCTAGTTATCAGACTCTTACACCTGAGAAGCAAAGGCAGTCGTCTGTCCAAATTTCACATGGAACTGGGAGGCCTGGCTCAACTAGCTCTTCAAGGTCTCATCATGACACATCTGGGGACTCTTCCACTTCTACTGGTGACATTTCGAGTAAGATTGTTGATCGTTACATTGATGGAGAGCAGCAGCCAGAAAAAAGTAGGTCAAGGAAAAAATTACAGAAAGGTTATGGTGAAAATGGAAATTATTGTATGGAGCTTCCTCCAAAAATTCAGTACACAGCACCTAATTCACCAACTGATGCTAGATATAGACCAAGAGTTCATTCATATAGAGAAGCTAAAGGCACTGATATTCACTTCTCATCCAAAGACTGGAAAGAAAATGGGTTTGGACATGAATCTCCTCAGAGCCTGGCAAAAAAAAATGTCATTGAGAGACTTTCTCAGTTTCATTCTTTCTCCAAGATCAGTTCAAAAGAGGTTGGTCTTGGTAATCCAATTACAGTTGAAGATATATTTGCTAGATCTGTAAATGAATGCTGTGAGTCAGATCCAGATGAGGCTCTGCCAAAAGGTTGTTCTTTTGATAAACCCCACAGAACGACAGATGGTTATCATAGCACTGACGATCAAAGATTCCAGAAACAAGATGTTTTCCCAGCAGCCATCTGTGAGGGCTTAACCTGTGTTGTCCTTGAAGAGGATGTTGATGCAGAGCTGCAAAGACGATTAAAGGAAGTCAAAGACAGAGGTACGCTTTTTTCCGAGGAATTTGAAAGAGAAAGCTTTCTTCTTGATGGTGATTTTGATGTGTCTGTGCTGGTTCAGACAATCAGAAACCTAGAAGAGGAGAGGTTAAGTTTGGCAATGGAAGTTTCAGGCCTCCTTCAGTCTCGCATTGCTGAAAGAACATCTGCTAAGGAAGAACGTAGATGCTTAAAGGATGAATTGGAGTTACAGGCTCAATGGCTGGAAAAGGAAAAGAATGAGATACAGTTGGGATTGGAGAAGGAATTCGACAGAAGGTCAAGAGACTGGTCACTTAAGTATGAGAAGTGTCAGTTGGAGGAGCAAAGGCTTCGTGAACGTGTTAGAGAGCTTGCTGAGCATAATTATCACTTCAAAGGGAAGTCTCATCTTTTGGTGACAAGGAAACCGAAACCAAAAAGCTAATAACTAGTTCTGACCATCAGCTGAAGGAAATAACTGAAAAGAAGGAAGAAATGAATGAGCAGAACTTTTATTTTCAACAGAATGTCTTAGAATTACAAGAGAAGTGTAAGATGGTAGAAGAAAACAGGGACATTTACCGAAGAAATTATGAAGAGAAGGAGAAGGAGCGTAAAGAGTTACACAAGTCCATCACAAAATTGCTACGAACATGCAGTGAGCAAGAGAAGACAATCACGGGGTTACAAGATGCATTTAGTGAGGACTTAAAAAGGAATCAGTCTATGGAGAGGGTGGAGAAGCCTTTTGCAAAAATGCAAATGGAGCAAATGAGGTTATCAGGGGTGGAACTGGCTTTGAGAAGGGAGTTAGAATCTTATAGGGTTGAAGCAGATTCTATTCGCCAAGAAAATATAACTCTACTAAACCGCTTCAAAGGAGATGGGAAAGAAGTTGTTGCTGCTACTTATAAGCTTGATAAAGAACTGTTGGCCCGTGTCTTTTGTCTGCAAAATCAAGGCCTAACAATGGTAAATGAAAGCTCCAACTTATGCTCGAAGTTTATTGAATTCATCAAATCAAGATTCACAACATGAAATGGAGGTCATAAAAAATGCTTTAGGTGGGCAATCTGAATGTAAAATTCAGGGTCTTAAAAGTAAAATTGAGGGCTTAACTAGGAGCTTGCAGATGATGTCGGCTTTGTTTGCTGAAAAGTCAAGTTTATTGACAACTAAATTTCAGTCACAGTTTATTGATCCCGGCAAACTTGCTAAACTGAATGATCAATCATCTGATGTAAGTTGCTTGTGGACCTTTATGAATTATTATATTTAGAAAAATGCAGATTGTAAATTGTCTTTTGTATATTTGTAACCTTTAATTATTAGCATTATAAGGTGTTCTATTCTTTGTACATACTTTTCATTGAAGACATAATAGTTATCTTTTTACAATTTTAGGCAGGCTATAATAAGAACTGAACTGAAAGCAGAATGCTTGCTAACAAGTCTATTAAGAGAGAAGCTGTACTCAAAAGAGCTCCAAGTTGAGCAGCTGCAAGCTGAACTTGCTACTGCAGTGAGAGGAAATGACATACTTAAATCTGAGGTGCAAAATGCACTAGCCAACCATTCATGCGTCAACCAGAAGTTGAAGGACCCTGAACTTCAGGTCAGTCCCCAGTATCAATTTTCATCAATTTTATTATGGGTAAGCAGGCCATTTTCCACGGAAAGGGTCTTTAATAAATACTACTATAAAGTTGTGAACTGAGCCTTGGATGGTTCCTGGCAGTACTTTTTGAAGTTGATGTTGCTTGCACCTGTTCCCACTGCTGCTAGCAAAAGTTTGAACAGTAATTTCATGTTCCTGTGTAACAGATGTTTAAGAAAGATGAGTGCATAAACCGCCTCCAAAGTGATCTGAAAGAATCTATGAAAGAATTAGCAATCATTAAGGGAATTTTGTCACAGGTAACTGGGGAGAGGGATCGTATGTGGGAAAAAGTGAAGCAATATGACGAGCAGAATATGCTAATGAACTCAGAGATCACCGAATTGAAGAAGATAGAGGTCGTTGATGAAGATGTACTTGTAAAGGAAGGTCAAATAGCAATATTAAAAGACATTCTTGGTAAAAAGCCCTTTGATCTCCTTGGGAGTCCTGATTCTATGCACCAATTTTTGCTTAACTAACTACTACAGATTATAGAAGCATATTTCTTTTTTACAGGCAAAGTCACTACATTGTTCATAGTTCTATAATTTTTTTTTTTGATATCACATAGTTCTATATATCTGTGAATGAGGTTCTGAAGGTTCTTTTCTTGATTATGTACATGAATTTTAGTTTGATTGATTTTGTAAAAGCTTTGTTCTCTTTCTAGGCCATGATATTATATCTTCTACTCTTTCCTATTTGATTTTAACTCGTTATCATTGATCAATATATCATTATATGATATAAAACTTTGAATTATTTATCACATATAAATAGTGTGGCGATGTGGCTTACTTTAAATCACGCAAAAGTATGATACATCTATTTATTTATTTTCCTTTTATTTTAAATATAACTTGAAACATTAAAGTGGTTTATGATTTACCTTCTTGGGAAAAAGAATATTTTCTTTTCGCCCTTTACTTTGAGTAAACTTTTTTTTATCTTTTATCTAGAGTAAATATTCTTGAAGCTTAATGAATTTGCAAGGACAACTATGTCTATTTTTTTTTAATCATAAACTTCTCTATTGTTATTTTTTATTTATTTTACCAATAGAAATTATTATATCATACTAAGAAAAGACATGTAACAGGTTATGTGAGATTCAGTGTAAGCTAATAATAATAGAAAAATATGAATAAAATTTTATAAAATTATTATTAATTTACATTGGATATTACATAAGCTGTTAGATGTTTTTTCTAAATATAATATGACCATTTTTGTTAATAAAACAACTAAGAAATAATAGTAGCAGAATTTGTGATGAATAATAATAATAAAAGATTAAAAAGGTTGATTTTAAATTTTTAAAGGTGATGGAAGTTTTGTGAAATAGCCTCAAAGTTAAAGGAAATTTTGTAATAGCCCAGAATATAGTTATAAAATTAGAATAAATAATAAAATAAATTATGGTATTTTATTAATTGTTGGGGTGACATTAACAATTTACAATCATGTGTTGGCGGTGCAATAGATTTTCTCTTGGTCTTTACCTGTTAGGCCTCACGTTCGAAACCTTATCGAGCATAAAGGCAAAATTACACTTTTGCCCTGTAAAAAAAGCACACGAGGAGTCAGAAATTGATTAGTTCGAATATAATATTCTCCTCCTCCATCATTGTTTTTGATTTCTCCAGAAGCTCCGCGAGAGCGAGAGGGAGTTTCACTGTTCCTCTTCCCTCTGTGTTCGTTGGCCGGTGACCGTGGGTGCGCCTGTCGCCGCCGTCGCTGGAGATCGAAGGTGCGCCAGATTTTCTCCCTTTTTGCTCTTCTTCTCTGCTTTGCGTCATCTTCTTGGTTCTCGCTTCTTCCTCGACGTTCCTCCGTCTTCTTCCTTTCGGTGGCCGATGGGTGTGAGTTGGTTTTATTAGTGAATGAAAGAGAGATTTTCTGACACTGTTGGAAGCTTGATACACAAAATTTCCTCCTCTTCTGTTTCAGCGTTGATATCTTCCTCCCTCTCCACTGTCATGTTGCAGCGTTCTTTTTTTTTTTTTTCTTTCTTTCTTTCTTCCTGCTCTGGTGCCACTGACCTATTGTGGAATGTTCATGCATTTGGGAAAGCTTCGATCCTCTCATTCCATCTCTCATTTGCTACACAGGTGAAGGAATCCTCACTTCTCCTCCTTGTCCAGTTTGAGCATGGGTATGATTGGGTGGCTGAATTTTTTTTCCCTTTTTCCCCTCCATTTGTGTTAGCTGCCGTGCATGGGTAAGGGAGAAGATGATGTCTAAGCAAGCTTACATTGAGGGCTAAGAAGTTTAGGTAGGTAACTATGCGTTAAACATTTTGATGTAAAAAGAACAATGTGTTTAAATGATATTCAATTCATACTTAGATTGCTTATTATATTAAGACTAGAATTGAGGAGTTATATAAACTTAAATATTGACATTCGAAGTTTTGGGATGAGGTTTGAAGCGAAAATAGCTTAGATTTTAATTTGGAGACTTATGACCGTGAGGAGTTTGATGAAATGGGTGTGAGAAAAAAAAATTTAATATGTATTGTGGCAAAATATATGTGATGATTATATTGTTGTTGGTTAAATAATTATCAGAAAACAATCACATATTCTCTTTAACGAAAGTTGAGATTGAAGTTAGATTTTTTTTTTTAATGGTATGGTGAGTAGACAATAATCATTGAATTACATGGGTACTAGGATTTAAAGACTAAGCATTGCTATAAGAAGACAAGTTAGGAGTAAATTATTTATCAAGCCCCATCAAGAAGTCATAAAGTTGATCTGGTTCCCTCATTTCCACGAGTTGTTTTTGCAGATCGCACTTGCAACTTCCGCATGTGCACTTTGGCTACGGTGCTATTGTGAGCATCTCGTCCTAAAGACTTTTCAGTTTGGTATAATATGCCGAGACAGATTGGTTGTCTTTCTTCAACAAAGCAATCGTACGTCGCAGCTCATAAATTCTTGGCGAGCTTTCCTTCCTGAAACGCTCTTCCAAGTCTACCCAGATTTCTCGTGCCGTCTTGGCATATCGAACACTGGTTCTCACCTCTTTATCAATAGAGCTCTTCAACCAACCTTTCACCATAGCATTGCACCTCATCTAGTGTGTGAGGTTCGGTGAATCAGTTGAAGGCGCTGATGGGGTTCCGTCAACGAAACCAAATTTGTTCTTGCCATAAAAGGGTGTTGCTCATGTCATTTACCCACTCGCCAGAGTTGTCGTCACTTAGCAACTCACTAACGAAGATCTGGCCCGGGTTGTCAGAAGGATGAAGAAAGAATGGTGACTTTGAATCGACCACTCCACTCTTTTCAATCTCTGCTCCGTCCGTCTTCTCAAATCCAAATGAGGTCATGATTCTATAATTAATATACAGATATAGTATTGTTAATATACAATATTATGGGACCCACGTGATTGGTGGAGGAGAGAATCCATGTGATGCATGCAAGGCCATGCGAGATTTACATAACAGGTGATATGCTTTATGCGAGATGCATGCAAGTCCATTCGATATTTACGTAACAAGTGCTGTCATGTATCATGTGATACTTTTTTATGAAGTAAAAAATTAATAATTAATAATTCTAGAACGATGCTTTATTTATTTATTTTTTATAGTTAAAATTATTTTTATTTTTATCTTTTTAAATTGAGTTGAAATTTTATAATTATATACTAGTCATTAAGTCACAAGTTCTTTTTTTTTTTAATTCTCCCTATATTTTTTTTGGCTCAAAATTGAATTATTAATCATTTGCATAGGATAGTTATTTACTTATTTTAATATTTTTAAAGATGCAGCAGTTTTCTTCTTCAAGTTTCGACAATCACAATTCTCTCGTAATCCCTATTCGACTATCACGTTCATCGGGACGTCTTCTCGTTCGTGAGATTTCTTCCTCAGATTCACAGTCACGATGAAGCAGGTGGCAATGATCGCGACATACCATTGCTTCCCCGAGATATCATCACAGAAATTCTCTAAAGACTTCCTGTAAAATCCCTTATGCGATTTCGCTGTGTGCGCAAAGATTGGAAAAACCTCCTCAAAAACCCATCTTTCATCGCAGCCCACCTCCACTGCTCCAGTAATCAAAACCCTTCTCTTATGTTCACTCGATTTGATGGACATCATTATACGCTCTTTGATTTGCTCGATTGCAGTATGCAATTCCTTGAAGTTCAGAACGCACCTGCGATCGAATGGGCTTGGGATAGGATCGTCAGTTCCTGCAATGGCTTGTTCTGCTTTCAAATTCCTAATTAGGGTACGACTCCCGTTACTCCTCCTTCCTATTTATTGTGGAATCCGGCAACTAGAGAGGTTAGACAGGTGCCCAGACCTCTTACTTATTCTGACGGTCATTTCTTTATCGTATTAGGCTTCAGTCCTGTTGTTAATCATTCCAAGATTGTGACAAATTATGGAGCTCGGTTTTCTCATGAGGTTAATCCAGTGAAACTGTATTCCTTAAGTACAGGATCATGGGAGGGAATAGAATTTGGGAACATGGAGGGCGTAATTTTCAGGATTGAACCTATAACTGTTACTGGAATTATCTTCTGGCTGGCAACAAAGCAAGTTGTGAAGGGTGAAGATGGAGATGATGATACTCATTTGATAGTTTCATTTGACATAGCAATGGAAGTGTTTACATTAATACAAGTTCCTGCATTAGTCTGGCCTACGCTTACTGTGTACCAGGACAAACTTGCTCTGCTTTATGCAACTCTAAGTGGAAATTTCAAATCTTCTTTTGTTGATTTGTGGGTGATGGAGAAGGATACAGGTGCATTTGAGGGGATGTGCAGTTGAGCTAAGAAATATACTAGTGACACTCATCCATGCTTCTTATCTCCGTTTACTATTTGGAGAAGACAAATTGTGTGCAATGTTGTAAAGCCTGTACACGTTGTTGGAGCTGATGGTGAAGAGAAGAATGTTGAACCAACAAATTTTCTATATCTATTCAATCTCACCGCTAATGAATTTAAGATGTTTCCTACTGGCAGGTGGTCCAAGAGGATGATATTTTTAGTTATACTGAGAGCCTAGTACCATTGGACAACAACCATGTTGAAGAGTTAGGTATTAATTTGCATATATATTTTGCTTATGCAATTTTGGTGTAAATGAACTCAACAGTCAGATCATTCTGTACCCAAAACCATTTTGGCCCTTTAGATATGTTGTCTATATATTTAAGAATTATAAAAATGTTTGGTGCTTTGTTTAACCTATTTATAATATCTCATTGTTCTGTTATATATATATGTATATGTAATTTTTTTTCAATGATGGATATATAATTTGATTGTTGCTGGATGGATAAATTATTTGGGACTTTTCGTCCAGGTAATTATATTGAAAATTTTATATGATGAGAGGAAACAAAAGTAAGTGAAGTAAATGAGTTTCTTGCATTTGTATTTCATTTTTTTGGAAGGTCTGTGCTCTTTTCGTAGATGATGGTGGATAAGATGTTAGGTAAGATTTTTTTGTGAGGTGCACTTTACCATGTGTCTTGTATTTTATCCCAATCTAATAGATGTCAGGTAGAATGATGAGTGTTGATATTCAATATATGTTTCTAACTTTATTTTACTTGTCTATGCTATCACGTTGTTTAGTATATAATAATTGATTTTCGGGAATGGATCATTTGGGATGTGTTCTTTTTATATATTAGTTGATAGTTGATAGCCATTTTGTTTAATATGAGAGGGAAGAGAAATAAGCGAAGCAAATTTGAATTTCTTGGTTTTTACTTTTTAGTGGAGAATGAATTAAATACAGTTCAATCACAAACCAATAAGCATGAGTAAAATGATCACTGATGAGCAGACACTGAAGAGTATAACTTTGCGTCATAGGGAAATCTGTAGGAGACCTAAGGGAGTGGCATTTTTGGAGGAGAAATCTGTTGTAAGATGTAAATATACCGGTAGGCAATAACAACATTGAAGAGCCTTGATCTTAAGTACTCTATTCATTTTAAATTCTATGAGACAATTTGAGATAAAATTATATATATAAATAAAATTTAATTATGACATTTTATAAATTTATTTTTTTAAAACAAAAATATAAACTTTTAAAAATGTTCATACACATTTAATCACTATACTTTAATATCATTTTAATTCTCTCTGTATTTGAAAGATAATATTAAAACAACATTAATAATAAAATTTTATTTTTATCAAGTTGTTTTATATTCTGGGTAATAAAATATCTTTAATGTTATCTTATAATTTGGAATGGATGGAGTTCAAGTGGCACACTATAGAGAAACTTTGTTGGGAGAATCGCACTACAAGCCTTAAAAAAATGAAAATTTGCACTTTGGACTTAATAAATTTTAATAATGCATTGCAGGCCTAAGTGTTCTTGCAATTTTTTTTAGAGTGAAAGTATAATTGTGCCCTTGTGTGATTCGAAAACTTAGAACTTAATGCAAAACCCTCATTCATAAAGTACTGCTATTTATGAATTCTCAACACAATGTATATGCATGTTTAGTTGATTTATAAGTTAATTAATATATATAAGTCACACAGAACATGTACAACACAATGTTTATAGGTACATAACACGCTATGCATGTATTTTCAACACAATTTTTATAAATTCTCAACACAATGTCCATGTGTGTTTAGTTGATCAGTAGGTTTAATAAAATTTATAAGTTATGTAGATAACGTACAATATAATATTCATAGATACACAACACTATGTTTATGTATTTTTAATTGAATGCCCATGTGTGTCAAGTTGATCATTTCATTACTTTTAGTTCATTTCTTTCATTTTGATTAAGGGCAAAATTGTACTTTCACTCTCAAAAAAATTGCAACAAGGATTTTTGAGCCTGCAGTGCATTATCAAAATTTATTAGGTTTAAAGTGTAACTTTTAATTTTTTTTGGGCCTGCAGTGTGATTCTCCCTACTTTGTTTAAGCACATATGGTGGAAGTTAAATGAACCTATAACTGTTAGTTAGATCATTTTGTTGCTATAGTCCCTCTATTAGGAAATCTACTTTTAATAAGGAAAATGAAGGAATACAGCAAAATAACGTTAACCCCTAACTGGAAGTTTAAGTGCTTAGGAAGTGGGCAAAGACAAACAAGTAGTATAGCTGTTCCATGAAAAAAAGGGGTGGGGGGAAGATAACAACTCAAACCTTCGTTAACCACACTATGCATCGGTTTTGATTGTGAAAGATTGAAAAACAATTGTTGATTGTTGATGATTGTGAGTGGCTTTAGATGAAGGCCAAAATCCAAGATGAAAATTCGAATTCAAATCATAGTCCATCAAAGCCAAGAGTTACAGAAGTAAGAGATTACTTCCATTCCCCCCCCCCTTTTTTCCATGAAAATTCTTATGAAACCTCCATATGATGGAAAGCTTACATATTTGAGGAAAGCTTTTGGTTTTGATCTTATATTCCCAAATTGACCACCCAAGCTCACAACAGAATTCCGAAGAGGTTGAATGCCATACTGCTTAGAGGAGGAAGACAAATGCGATGAAGAACACATCTTAGTCAAATAATGAACAGAATTTCAAAATTCTTGGATGAGCCAGGATGGTTTAGCAATGACCCCTCTATGTAATGGTGGCTCCTTTTCCTCCAAATCAGATTGAGCAGAATAATAATATGATTTAGCAAGTCCTTTTGATTTTTACTTTTAATTAGAGTGGACAGTAAAGCATGGAGCCTTGAGAAGTCTTGTCATTATTTGCAGTATGATACAAGAAGTCAAAAATGATAAATGGACTCGTATCAACACATACCTATTATAAATGGCACCTGTATATACAATGTTGGAGAGAAATTTTGAGTTTGAATCATAAATAAGTTGAAATTCACATTGAAATTAAAACCAATTTCAAACGAAGATTTGCACGGATATTAATCTCCAAAAGCAAACAATATTAATGGTTCCAGTGGAATCATGTTTATTTTATTTGTTTTATTCATGTTATATTTATTACATTTAATTAATTTTCTAATTTTGTTCACATAAGTAAAAAAAAATGATAGTTTCCAAAAAATGAATTTTAATATTAAAAAAACCTCTTGAGAGATCAATTTAAGGCCGTTTGTTTAAAATTAAATTGATTCTAGTGGAAGAGACTAATTCTTTATAACATGACCATATTTGTTTGGAAATCACCAATCCTATCAGATGCAATTTAGTCATGTAATGTGCACAAAATTGGCTTCCCTATGCATTAATTCTAAAGACACACCAATCCCTATGTCAAAGGGATCTAACTTGATGAAGATCACTACAAGGATGAAAATTAGTCCCACTTCTCATAAGGAGGTTAATTGCTTTTGCACAATCCATAAAGACTCTGATTGGTCTAAAGCCTTTGTTCCAACATAGATTAAGACCATGCAAGACTGTAGCTACCTTTAAAATAGAGGTGGGAAGTTGCTGATATTATTGTCAAACTCTTGAGTTGACTCTACGAGTTTATTATTTTTATATTTTTAATGTAAAAATTGTATTAACTCACGAGTTAACTTTCTAAGTTTATCATACTTGATTCATGAAAGTGGTAGAATCTGTTTCAATAAAAAATAAAACTTGAAAAAACAAAAAAATAATATTAATAAAAAAGAAAACAAAAAAATTAAAAATAAGTTGCTCTATTATGTTGAGTATAATAATCTATGAATATAGATAGATTTAATTTCAATGATTTATATTTAAAATATATTTAAATTAAATTATGATCATATTTTATATTTTAATTATTTAATCATAGATTTTTAAAGGCTATTTATTAAGAGAGGTAAAAAAGTTTATGATCAAATTTACATTCCTATTACGAGTTTATTTAAACTTATGAGTTCAACAATCTTGATTATAGATATTGATATTAAACCCAATAAGCCAATGAGCATTGTTTGTGAACAATGACACCACCGCACTTACCAATACCATTACCAACACCATTCTTATATGATCCATCGACATTCAATCAAACTTCACCTGTTTCTCGGTGAAACCATTTGCTTTGATAGGTTCCCATTGTGTTCAAGAGGTTAAGATCTGTCTATGTTCTGTGTGCTCTCATCCTCTTCATTAGAAAATGCTTTTCTACATATAGAGCACCAAATTTCCCAACATACAAAATCAAACAGCACGTCCCAGGGTACCCGTTTTGTAAACTCTTGACCAATAATGTCCTTGTTCATGTTCCATTTGAGCCACTAGCTCCTCTCTGTATAGGTTTTATGATGCTGCCATAAGTATAAAGTTTTCAATAAAATAATCTTCTCTCTCAACCCTTGGGATAAGGTATCATTTTGATATCTTAATTTTATAAAATATCTTTTAATCCTTAAAGTTAACCCTAGCCGACATTAATCTTTAAATATTCACAAAATGTGTTCAAATGATAACATATTAACTTTAATTTTTAAAATAATAATAATTGGTATAAAAATAATCATTTAAGATTAATGATATTAGGATTAAAGATCTAACAAAATACTTCATAAAATGAAGAAACTAAATTAAAATATTATATAAAGTGAAAGGACTGAAAATATCTGTTTAAAATGTAATTATTAAATTTGAAAACACAAAATCAAATCTTATCAATAAAGTAAACAAAATCAAATCGATATAATTGAATTGAGATCGTAACTAAAAGGAATAATTATATTCTATTATTAGAAAATTTATAATAAAATCAAATTTTAAAAATGATAAATTATTAACTCTTATGGCACAGGATCAAATTAATCAAGTAGAAATCTCTAATAAAATCTTATCTAATTACATGATATATTATATTGCAATTAGATTTATAGATTTATCATCATCATCATCATCATCATTATCATAAGTAGTTATAATAAGTCACAACAAAAATACCTAAAATACTTTTTAAAAATGAACGGCATGATATCCAAGCCACTCCTAGCCAAACTCATAAATAATAATATAATAGATAGATTGATTGAGAAATCAATCACGATAAAAATTCTCTAATAAAGTTTTCTTATTGAACATAATTTAAAAGATTGCTCCGATTAAAACTACTCTTGCTTATTTTGATTTTGATTTTTTAACACAAAATAAGTGCCAACAAAGGAGGTGGGATTCTTGTTCATAAAATAAAAAATTAGTACCAGAATTTTATACATTCAAAATTTTAAATTTACATCATCGAACTTCTTTCGTTTTCTTTTTTTTTTAGTTCAAAAGAGTGTGATTACACTTTCATCGTTTTGAATTTTAATATAAGTTAATCTATCAACAACTACAGATCATTTAAATCCAATTGAAAACCCTGAAAGTCCCTAGCAACGTCCAGTGAGACACCACGCGAAGCAGATGCATGGCAATGGAAAGCCAAGACACGCCATATCTTCCTCAAGAAATTATCACAAACATTCTCAAGCGTCTTCCTGTAAAATCTCAAATCCGATTTCAATGCGTGTGCAAAGATTGGAAAAATGTCATGAAAGCCCCATTTTTCATTCAAGAACACCTCAACCACTCTACTGATCAAAACCCTTTTCTTCTTTTCCGCTGGGGAAGCGATACTCGCTATTGTCGTTTGGCTTTGATTCTGCAAAATCTGGAGACGCAGGTTCTTGAATTTCTGGACCCCCCAATGACAAGTTACTCCCAGATTGTTAATTGCAGTAATGGCTTGGTATGCATAGAAAATTATAATTCATGTTATTACTTTCTGTTGTGGAATCCAGCTACAAGAGAGGTCAGGCAAGTGTCCGGAGCTCTTCATGATTTGGATCGTGGGGATCGTTTCTTAACTAGTTACTTTCTAGGATTTGGCTTCAGTCAACTTGCTAATGATTACAAAATAGTGAGAATTTTTGTTTCTGTGGATGATGATGAAGTTGATAAAGTGGAAGTGTATTCATTAAACACAGATTCGTGGAAAGAAGTTAATGCTTGGAACTTCGAGCATGTAGTATTTAGAAAGAGGAATACACCCACTGTTACAGTTAATGGAGCTATCTTTTGGCATGGGTTAAAGTATGGCACAACTGATTTGCATGTGATAATTTCATTTGACATAGCATTGGAAGAGTTTGCATTGATTCCGTATCCTCCTGTCCGTAGACCATATGATTGTTGTCTTAGTGTGTATGAGAATAAACTTGCTATGGTTTCTTTCCAAAAGATTAATATTGGACACTTTATATTTTCTTGGCTTGATTTGTGGGTGATGGAGGAGAGCCCCAATGAATCCGGAGATCAGAGATTGGGTTGGATTAAAAGATACAGTAGCAACCTTTATCCATGCTGGTTGTGTCCGGTGACTATATGGAGGAATGAAATTGTCTGCGACATATTTCCTGAAATTATTGAAGGTGATGATGAGGAGAATGTTGGAACAAAAATTGTGCTATGCAATATCACTACTAATGAATTTAAGATGTCTCATATCCGCATAAAGTTCTTTCCTCAAGAGATTTACAATTATGCAGAAAGCCTTGTACCAGTGCATTATCCAAGTTGAAAGCCTGTTTCATCCTAAATCTCAATTATTACTTTGAATATTTATTTTATTTGTTCTTTATGAATGTTATTTAGAATATATATGATGAATCTAGATATTTTATACCGAATGTTTCTTCTGCATTTGACCTATTCATAATTTTAGGTTACTCTGTTTATATATAGTCGTTGGACTGTGGATTATTTAGGACTTTTTGCCCAAATAATTAACGTATTAATGCTTTAATGGTTTTAAATGCAATGAAGAGCCTTGATCCTAAATTTTGGTTGTTGCATTGCAGATTTATTTTTTAGAGGTGTTATCTAGAATGATTGATAAGTTATAGGTTAGGATGTTGACTTAAATTGATGCACGAAGTTTCATATTGTATAAGATTCACTACTAGAGAAATGTAAATTAATGAGAGATCATCTATTCCTATCTAAAATGCCAAATTAGTGAGGAAATTAGTCAAGAATGTTAATTTCATAGGTCAACTTAAAACTAACAAGGAAAAATAGAGAGAAGCTATCAATTCATCTATAAAATAAGATAATTTAAGAGGAAAATAGATGTTTAACAAGATATACCTAAGTGAGAGATATGGGTCCTCACTAACTTTAGCGATATACAGCAATGAAATACATGACCCTTGTTAAATTTAGCAAACCATTTTTTTTTTTTTGCTGCAAACTTATATAGTGAGGGCAATAATCCCTCACTAAAATGCAATTAGCAAGGAATATATAGTATTTAGCAACGAATTTGTTGCTCACTAAATACAATTTTTTTAATAGTGATTGAGCTTGATAATTAAAATATAATAAAGTAGAACCCATAAATCTAGACCTTAAGTTTTTCAGTTAAAGATGGGGTCATTTACTTCTCACAATCTTGTCCTCATATTTTTTGTGTCATTTCTGACATAATATTATATGAATTTGGTTGCTTAGCTTCCAAATATGTATTTAATTTTGTATCAATTTTAGTATACTAATGTTTCGAAATACCTTGTCTTATCTGAGTAGTTTACCATCGTACATGAGAGGATGCGTTCTTTGGATCATTGGAAGATCAGAACAAATGTTTGCTTAAGATATTTTTGGGAAGTTAAAAATACAAAGTGTTTATTATCTTTTATTCCATCAACCCGTTCAAATCTCTTTTCTTTCATATCATTTTAATTTTATTTTTCTAGGTACCTACCAAACGTAAATTTTTCTTTTCGCTCTCTTGACTTCTTTCTCTATAAGACAATTTTTTTTTTCATTATTTCGTTTTGTTCTTATGTGATCCCTCACCAGATTTTAACCTTTGGGCCGAGATTTCCTTTCAATACGTCATCGTTTCTCAGAGTTCACATCTACACCTTTACTCACCAAATTTTGTTTTGCATGCTTTTGCAAACATGTATAATCATTAAATAGATTATGGTACTACTTATAATATCATCCAATTTTTTATCACTATATATATATGTATCATGTATTTTTATTATACACGTCATGTATCTATTTTACACATTAGATATGTGTATTTGAACAATTTTTAATCTTTTATTTGTGTGGTTTAAACAATGATTCCCACCCTTTCCCATTCTCATATTTCACACTCATTTTTCACGCTTCTGTTCCTTCTTGGCTCTTTATTTTTGTTAGTATATAATAATGATTGAGTACACGTGTTAATTAAAAGAAGAAGAAGAAGAAAATTGGCTCATCAAGGAGGATCCAAAATCCAACAAATCCAGTAAACACCATAAAGGGGAAATCGTTAATTTGTTAATTATCAGACAGATCAAATGACAAGTTAAGAACTTACGTTCCTAAGAAGCTGGTGATTAATAATTTAATTTAGAAAAATAACTTTTAATATCAAATTTGAAAATAGATTTAAATATAAAATTTAATACACAATATTTTTCTTCTACATACTACTTTTATTTACTCTAATTTAGAAAACACTATATATGTGTGTGTGTGTGTGTGTGTGTGTGTATGTATGTATGTATGTATGTATTCCATCTTCAAGTTTGCTTGTCAGGAATAAAAAAAAATTAGTTCTCTCAATTTTTCATTAACCCAATATTTATACAATAATTGGTGGTATTCTCATTTACCAAATAAAACGTAATATTCATGACAGCACATTGTATAAAAAAATAAAAATTCAAAGCAGCATATAATTGTTTCTTCACATACAATAATTGGCGTGTAATTATAATTCACCGATGAATCAAATAAAAAGTTGATTTTGTTGGCAAAGCAAATAAAAATAATTTCGTTTTAAAATTCATTCAACCAGAGTAAGAAATTTTTTTTTTTTTGCTAAGTTACATTTAATAAGTCATCGGACTCGAATCATTTAAAGTTGAGATGCATGAATTTTGTGAAGTTTAAATTTTTTTAAGTATTTTTCCTCATTTTATTATTATTTTTCATGAAATATAGATATTCTTTTTTAAAAGCATAGGGAGTGCTCCCTCCGTTAAAAAATATAAGATATTTTTAACTGAATCTCACCTTCTAATAAAATAATTACTTATTTTTAAACTAACCTATCTTTTTATATTTATTCCTATTAAACACCCTACAATAAATATCAAGTTATTCATTAATAGGGGTACTTTTGAAAAAAAAAGGCATTGATTACGTTTCAAAAGACTAAAAATATCTTATATTTTTAAATAAATACTTAAAAAATAACTTATATTTTTAAATAGAAGGAGTATACTAAGAGCAAATGATAGATGTCTCTCAATTAAATTGCTACGTGTTGATAAAAAAAAATTAAATTGCTACATATATAAAGACTGTGGACTTGTATCAACTCATATCTATTTAACCAATGTTGGATATAAATTTTGAATAAATTGAAATTCACATTAAAATTAAAACCAATTTCAAACCAAGATTTGCATGGATATTAATCTCCAAAAGCAAACACTAGAAATGGTTCCAGTGGGATCATGTTTATTTTATTTGTTTTATTGATGTTGTATTTATTATATTTAATTTTTGAATTCTGTTCACATAAGTAAAAAATAACAGATAATACAGAAATCAATCTTTTTCATGTTCAAAATATTTTCAAAAATTTAAACAAACATTATAAAATTTTATAAAATATTTTTTAAAAAAAACCAGGTGATTTTTCGTTAAAAAAGAATCAAACAAACGAGCTATTAATTGGATCATAAGTTGAAGAAATAATTAGATTCTATTATTCAAATGTATATTGTAATAAAAATAAAATTAAAAAGAAATACAAGCAGATCATAAGTGCGTATTGGGCACTTTAACGTCACATAATATTTTATTTTAGTACTTCAATTTTATAAAATATCTTTTAATTTTTACAACTAACCCTAGTCGAAATGTTAAAATTTTAAATATTCATAAAATTAAACACTTTCAAATGGTGACATATTAAATTAAGAGTTAAAGAGCAAATTTATTCCTGGTCTATAGATCCAAGAATGTATGGGATATTAAACTCATTTTTAATATAATATTTCCTTTCAACTTTTGAAAATAATGTAATATGGCCCCTACATTTAAAAAAAGTTAATTTTGATTATTGACTAACTAAAAAATAATAGAAAAAGACCTCAATAATTACATAAAAGGATCGAGAAATATTTTTGGCCTTTTTTTATAATTTAAGATTTTTTGTCAAATAATGATCAAAGTTAACTTTTATTAACAGTTGATATGATATTGCTCATTTTTCAAAATTAAGTTGAAGAAGAATATTACATAACAAATGAGTTTATGGTTCCAAACTATGAGTAAGCAATTTACTTGCAAATCCGCCCATACCCTCCCGACCTATTTTCAAACAAGCCAACCTATACCTGTTTATGTGGACCATTTGGATATTTCATGATATATGCATCCATAAGATGGTTATATATGTGTTTGTTATCAACACATAATAAGCATTTGCTAAATTACTTGCTTAGACAATTTGATTAAAAGGACATTTTTAGATTATGCAATTAAGACAATTCATCTTGATAATGCAAGTGAATTTTCATCCCAAATTTTTTATAGGGGCTTCTGCACATATAACCTATATCATAAGGATAAGTAAAAAAAAAAAAACTATCCTTTCTTAAATTTTAAAAATGATCTTTTTAATATTTAGTTTATAATTAATTTATAAAACTGACCTTTATCTGCTTTTTGCAAATTGATTCAAAACGTAAGAAATCTCTAGAACTGAATGCAATGAATACGAAATATATAATCTAAAATGGCCTTTTTTACAGATGAATGCGAGAGAGAAGACAGAACTGGACGTAAGAGACAAACACAAGATAGGAAAGCAATGTGAGCAAGCCACAGTCACGATCGTGAGAGACAAACGCGAGGTAAAATACATCGATGGCACTCGATGGAATAGAGCACATCGGTGGGGAAATGGAGCTACAAATTCATGATTTTTTATTATATTAGTTTAGGTATTTGATTTTCTGTGATAAACCAAGAGTCCAAATTTTTTTTATGAACTATGTTTGATTCATTTTGGGCAAATAATTATGTGTCTTTCACGTTACTAATTCATGATACTACATCATTGATATACTATTGTATATTACTAATATACTATTATAGATCAACATAACTAGACAATCAGATATAAACTTGTTTATCATTGATATACATATATATATCAATAATGTAGTATTGTAGATCAACAACATAAAAAATACATGATCATTTTTCCAAAATGAATCAAAAACTACTCTCAAAAAATTTAATGTTACGAAGAGATGTGAAGATGGTGAAAATCTGATGACAAATAATAGATTTCAGCTTAGTCTTCTACTTCCAGAAATGAAGATTCCTCTTCTATGTCTAATGTCATCTTCATATTGTTCCTAGAAAAATAGAGAGGGAGAGAGAAGAAAAGTTCTATGATGAATAAAGGCATCAGCAATTTTATATTCAAAGGAAAAAAGGAATGATTTAAAGGAAAAAAAGGAATGATTTAATCAATTAAGGATTAGTTTTAAT